CATCTGGATTAGTTCAGCCCTGTTCATACTTGCCACTTCTATTATCTTTTCTTCTATATAACCACTTTTGTACCCTTTTAATCAATTAATCTTTTTCCTATCATTTTGCCTTGATTCACATAATCCTTTTCCTCTACAATTGTGTCTCAGGCGCATTCATTGGCCTTTACGGATATTATAGAGCCAAGAATTGTGGTGACAGCTGTCTAGGGGTAAATGGCTATTCCGGTCAACCATTTTAAAATGCATTTTCGTGGTCCGCTTGCTTTTTTCCACCATTATTTCCTGATCCAAAAAACTGATTTTTTTTCATTGTTCATCTCCCATGATAGATGAATCCCTTTCTCATTTTTTTAAGGATCTGAAGAAGGTGCTGGAGACTATCTTCTATCCCATCCCAAATAATGATCACATAATGAATAAATCTTTTGTAGAACAACAGTTCCTGAGAAGTATTTGAATAGATGGATTCTTCTTCCCACTTGGACATAAATATGTTCACAACACTTGACGCAAATTTCGCACCCATGGCTGTCCCTATCTTTTGGCAGAAATCCAAACATTTGAGAAGATACTTTCTTTGTTTGCATTTCAAGTTTCTCAATTTCCTCAGTGACCATTTGGTGGCTTCACATGCTTGATGTATAATGATGGCACATCCACCATGGCCAATACCACTAATTTATCTTCAATTTAGCACTTGTGTTGGCTCAATCAAAAACACAAGCCCACTCCCTGCTTTCTCCTCATAGGCTGTGATTGACAGCAGCAGGAGCCAATTACTCCCAACACTGCCTCCATGTCCAGCGAGCATTGAGTGAGCCACTACTCATGGGCACAGAGCTGGATTGAGATCAGGCTCAGGTAAAATAGGGGGGGGGGGGGGGGGGGGGGGGCAGTGGCACAAAACATTTTTTTATCTTAATACAGAGAATGCATAAAAGTAAAAAAACCTACCTTTACAACCACTTTAAGTAGCACATCCAGGTAACAGATGAATCCTACTGTATGTTCATTTCTGTTCAAGAAAGATTTCCACTATGCTAATCTCAAAAAGTCCTATCAAAGTTTGAAAGAAACTTGTATTGTCTAGTGAAATGATATGCCCTCCAATTTTGCATTTCAATGTATTTAACTAATAAAAAAAAAATTTAAATTTAGCTATGTAAAATTGTCATAATTAATTGCAGCCAGATTGAGCAGGGCTTTGAGAGTGCATCTTTGTGGAATTGAAGCCTCTAAAAAGAAGATATTCATTTACATAATTTAATGGCTACTGTAATTTAGCTTTTCTTTTTAGGGCAAAGAGTGTGTATGATAGCAGATATTGTCATACCATATTCATATTCCATGTGCAAATGAACCGTTCTGTAAAGATATGTTCATTTCATTATTCCGCCTAGACAGATAATGACGCAGCGCCCTTGGGTGTGCTTTGACCTCATCACCAATTTTTCAGCTTTTTCCTTTATTCTTTTGTTTTAAATTCTGCCAGAAGCATGTCATTTTTTTTTATTTCATGTGTGTTTTTTGAAGGCCATATGATTGGAGTTTCAGTACTTCCATGAAGTTCTACACAATTAAGACAAACACCAGTTTTGGCTACAGTGCTTTTTAGAAGATGATTTTCCACTCAGCTGTCATTGTATAATTATATGCTTGTACTTACCTTGACTATTATGGTTGGGTTTCACTTCAGCTCTATCATTTTGCTAATTGTGATGAATCATTTCAGGCTGTAGAAGTATAAATGTACATGTAAGACAATCTGCATTGCTTTTTTGGTATTACAAAATTTAGTTTTACAAAACTATATGAAAGTTAATTGTCTTTCTTTTCATAATGTGTATATATGATTTAAAGCGGAACCCAAGTCAGGGATACCCACCTATTCTCCAATGGTCCAATGTTTGCGAGGTTCCATGCTGGCACCTTTTTCCCCGGCTTCTTCTGACTCCTTTAATTTCTGCTTTAATCGCTTGCCGACTGTTACTGTTACAGTGTGGGCCGGCTGTGCTAAATCACATATATATGTGATTTTGCGTTTCTGGCTAGGGAACGTGCACGCCTGTCTGCCCGCACTCTTTGGCTCCCTGACATGCCTATCAATGGGTCTCAGCCAATGATTCATGGCCGAGACCCGCTGATCGTTGGAGCTAATGACAGGAAATGTCAGAAATGTTCTCGACTCACAGAATGAAACAGGAAGGCCTGAACTTATCATTTCTACATGGGCAATGCTGGAAGCCATTCTGTTCTGTATATTCTATTTTCATGATGTCTGAACACAAACCTTAAAAGCAAAAACTCCAAAGTCATCACAGCTTATGTTCCCAGGTTATAAATTTGGGGGGAGGTATGGTGGTATCAGACAGCTACAACATAAAGACTAGACATGATACCAAGTTGTAAGATAAATGGATGAGTACATGTCTAGATTGAACAAAGGACAAAAGAACTGTTCATAATGTTTTTTTTTTTTTTTTTCACTATGAACCTCTGGAAAAAGAGAACATAAGAAAAAGAGTACATATTAAACTTTACATTGCATATGGTGGTGTTATTATTTGAAAGGAATATTTTAAACAAAAATGTCAATTGTATTATCATTAGTATTGCATGAAGTAAAATACTTGCTTACTTAAAGTGATACTAAACCCAGGAGCCTGCATTCACTATATCTGGTCTCCCACAGTACACAAAACATGGAAATGCAATCATTTTAGTAAATTTAAACTACTAAATATCTTTTCTCATCAGCAGTTATAGCAGTCTTGTAACTTCAGCAGAGCACTGGTTAAAGCTTGTAGGGGGAGTTTTCTTTCTGCTCTAGGAGGATGTGAAACCCCTGACCCTCTGTCTGGACAGTGCTGATTGGCCCTGTGCTGATCACATGCACTGCCCCGAGAAAAAAAAAAAACACCTCTAGCAATACACACCAAACTGAGCATGTGCATTGATGATGACGGATTCAGTCTGTATTAGGTGGTCATTTCAACAAGAGGAGGGGCAGAAAATAAAGGATCAAACAGCCTTTTTACACCATGCGGAGGATTAACCCCTTGTGTTCCACAGTGAGTAGAACAAGCATGCTTTACTGCATATTCAGACTGATTTTACTGGTGTGGGTTTAGTAACACTTAGGTAATTCAGGTTATTCTATTTTATATACTATGTTCTCTTGCGCGCTCTCTCTCTATCTATCTATATCTATCTATATATATATATATATATATATATATATATATATATATATATATATTCTTAAATTGGTTTTAACAATTAATACATATTGGTATATTGTGGATATTATGACTTTAACATGATAAATCTTTGCTGGATGAGGGTGTCCCTACGCACCATCTGGCCAATTAATGAATCTAAAATATAACCTTTATTCAAATATATGAAATGTATGCTCAACTTTAATGAATGCCTATTGGAGTGGAATGTACTGCACACAGCAATATGACTGGATACCATTGCAATTATTTACCTTACATCCAAATGGTTAATAACACCAGACCAAATCAAATTCCATACCGATTTAGATGAAGTGACGGCATAAAAAGAGACACTATAGTTTGATCATAAACCTATCAGCTTGAATATATAATCTCTATTAAGGAAATGGAGTTACCCCATGGACAAAAACTAATTAGATAGTATAATCTATCTTGCTACAGAAATGTAATATGGGTACACTCATCCACGGGCTTAAATGTCAGCCTCTCATGGACAAGCCCCATACATCACCATATCCAGACAAAATACCTCACTGTCTTGAGGAATGCAAATGTTGTTTGCCAAAGATGATGATTTACAATTAGGGCTTAGTTCAATAGTTGATTTAACATGATAAAGAATTTGTTTGAGTTCATTGTGTTATCACGTTGTTGTGTTACAGAAGATGTGAGATATTAAGAAACCTCAGTACTATATCTCAACAAGTGTCAACAAAAGATATATAGGTAGATTTTTTTTTCTCCATCACTTAAGGTAATACATTATTTGCAGTGACATGGGTACTAGTCTGTCTGAAACCAGCCCTGTCAGAAAGGCAGTTATCTCTAATATTCTGATATTCTTACTAGCCAAGGTTAAAGGTCAACCTTTGTCATGCAGCAGAAGGCAAGTCAGAGAAACCCAAAATTATTCCTAATCCTATACTGCCCCTTCAGGTAATTGAAATTAATTAGTAAAGAAAATGACACCTAGTCTGATGTCATTTGTAGGTGAGATAAGCTTTGCCCACCTAGGTTTCTTGGGAGGATACGGATAGAGAAGAGGCCATATATATATAAAAAAACAAAGTAGACAACTTGGTGTAACAATTGATCTTGACCTCTGATTGGATTGGCCTGTGTATGGTATACCAAATCAATTCATGCCAAGGTACTCGTTGAGCTTTGAATACCTGGTTGTAGAGCGATCACGTGGTCAATTTTCATAAGCTGTTGTCACATGTTGCTGAGTTACTGATAGTTTCTTACACTGAATTTCTAGACAGCTAATATCAATTCATTAATATTTGGAAATAATTGCTGGTTTGAATTTCTAATTAATATTTTAGATTAGATCATTGTACTGTTAACTTGTTTATTATTTATCATCACTTATATTTCATTACCATTTTGCACTGATTTTTATTATTAATAAATATATATTTTTGCACATTATTGCTCTGTATTTCATCTTCAAATTAGCGCAAATAAAGAATTCGGATTATCAGTTGATTTATGAAAATTAGTAGGGAATCTCCTTAATTCCAGATCCCCGCCTTTTTTCATAAATTTTATACTGATTATTTTCTCAGAGCTAACGTTATGACAACACAAATCTCTCTACTGACAGTGGGGATGTGTCGTTTTTTTTGTCACCCTGCAAAGCAGGGAGGAAAAAACTGTCATGTCCCCTAGTAAAACAGTATGCGTGTCACGTATATATAGGCACACAGTTATACTTTTGATTGTCCGAGATCTTAACCTCTTCCTGCCCAGTGTCATTAGTACAGTGACCGTGTATTTTGTTATCACTATATAAGGCTGGCCATACACTATGCAATTTTCTGCCCAATTTCTGCCCAATTTCCTTTAGATTTACCTTCAACTATGTAGTGCAAGAGCCTGCATATTTGGATACAATTGAAAGTGTTGTTAGTTTTGACCTCCTATTATAGGGTTTTTGGTAAATCTAAACCAAAAATCTCAAGAAAATTGTATGGCCAGCTTTAGTGTCACTGGCCATGTCTGTGTCAGCCATTGTCAGATTGCCCGCAGTACTATCACAGTCCTGCTATAAGTCGCTGATCGCCGCCATTAGTAGTATAAAAACAATTCCACTTTATATACTGTCATTTTGTAGAGGCTATAATTTTCACACAAACCAATTCATATACACTTATTGGGATTTTGTTTTTGTGCCAAAGACATATAGCAGAATATTCAGCATATAGCACTATCCTTTTACAAACGAAATTCCCACCAAGTTACTAACACAATCCTTCCCCTGAAGTACAAATAACATCAAAACAATATATAGTAACCTAGATTACCCTCTAATCAATAATTAGTGAATAAACATAAAGTCCAAAGCCCCAAAAAATCTATAAAAATATAAAAAAATAATAAAAACCAAAATCATCCCAAAAGCAAAAAAAACAAAAAGTCCAAAATAAAGTCCCAAATGATGATTGTAAAAAAAAATCTTTATCTGTGATATCTTAATTCTTCATATCCCGAAATCCTTGTGATATACTTCAAACCAAATCTTCATATACCTCAAAGAAAAAAACTCAACATGTGTGATATCTTCAAAGAAAAAGGGGTATATAAAAACCGTGCCACACGTGTTTCATGCACATAAAAAATATATTAACGTGCCACCACAACCGTGAAAGAGGAAGTCCCTCAGCCTTAGGAGTCAATCCACTGCATACCACTAGCGGAAGTGTATAGTTACCCTCAGAATGGTATCAAGGGTCTAAGTACTTCTTTCCAACCTTTGAATAATCCTTCAGCCTTTCAGCCGCTTCCCACAGACCTCATAAACAGACCAGGGATCAGTATGTGTCATAAAAATTATAGCACTTTATTGTAGTAACTTACATTCAAATAAGGTAACATCAGCTTCCACATCACAAACGATATGTTCACAATCCTGCCTCTCCTCATAAGTGTATAGATTCCACACTCTCTCACTCCCAAGAGGGAACCGATTGCCTGTGGTAAGACCCCAGTACCTCAAGGTCCCATGAGGATTCCAGGACGCCACAGCCACATGTACCAGAATCAGAAATGGCCGCCGCCGCACTTCCGGAAGAGCGTCACTACGTCACCACGTCACGTGCCCCGGACGCGTTTCGTCACACCGGACTTTGTCAACTGTCACGGTTGTGGTGGCACGTTAATATATTTTTTATGTGCATGAAACACGTGTGGCACGGTTTTTATATACCCCTTTTTCTTTGAAGATATCACACATGTTGAGTTTTTTTCTTTGAGGTATATGAAGATTTGGTTTGAAGTATATCACAAGGATTTCGGGATATGAAGAATTAAGATATCACAGATAAAGATTTTTTTTACAATCATCATTTGGGACTTTATTTTGGACTTTTTGTTTTTTGCTTTTGGGATGATTTTGGTTTTTATTTTTTTATATTTTTATAGATTTTTTGGGGCTTTGGACTTTATGTTTATTCACTAATTATTGATTAGAGGGTAATCTAGGTTACTATATATTGTTTTGATATAGCAGAATACATTTTGGCCTAAATTTAAGAAGATTTTGTATTTTTTTATGGGATATGTTTTATTGCAAAAAGTAAAAAAATATATATATTTTTTCTAATTTGGTCCTTTTTCATTTATTGCACAAAAAAACAAGTGATTATCAAATAGCACCAAAAGAAAGTTCTAATTATGTGAAAAAATTATATAAATTTCATTTGTGTACAGTGTTTCATGACTGCGCAATTGTTAGTAAAAATAGTGCAGTGCCATATGGCAAAAAATGGCCTGGTTATAGGGGGGGGGGGGGGGGGGTAAATTTTGTGGAGGGCAAGCCTGTCTTAGTTGGCTGACCAGGATTGTAGACGCAGGGCTGAAAATCCAGAAATAAAAGTTGCATTTACTTTGCTATGTGATGGGTAGGCTGGTTTGCAGGTGATGCATGTAACTATGTCAGTTGTTTGCTTAAAAAATTCCCCTCTAATTACTCAGAATTAAGTTTTTAGCTACACGTGTAGGTATAGTAGTTATCCTTTATTGGATAACTAAAATGCATATCTACCTTTTTTTTTTTTTTTTTTTTTTTTTTTTTTTGCTGCTTTTTTAGCCAAAACCAAAAGGTGTGAAACCTCTCATTAATCCTGCTTCATGTTGAACAGATTGTATTGCACCTATTTGTACAACAGGTTTTGAAACCATGCCTGCTACTTTGTTGCAGTTTTTTTTTTCCACCTTTTTTTGTTTTCTGGTTGACATGTGTAATCTTCTCACTTATTGCAGAGTGACAGCTCCCAAAAGTACATAGATTGGGACATCTTCAGATTAGTTCAAATGAAGTAATCTTGTTTTATAGCCACATGAATCAAACTTTACAGCCCTAATGACTATTATGAATCCTGTCGTAAAATCTGATGTATAGTGCAATTATACAAACCGCTTGAATGAAAACATTCCAGGTCATCAAGCTTGTAACTGGATTGTAATATGATGCCCTTTAGAACATTTGTTTCATCATGCAATGAGTGTTTTGGGGAATGCTCTTCATGTTACATGTCAAAGTGAAGATAGAGGGAGGGGGCTCTTGACACAATTAGAGCAGCCTCAATCACTCCCTGCAAATAATGCATCTATAATATTTTAATTAATTAGGATGAGTTTCTTCCCAGAGTGAAAGCTTATACAAAGAGTGATATTGATTGCTTGAAGCTTGATTTCTGTAGGGGTCAGCCCAACAGGATTTATATTCACCCAGGTCCTAGAGGAATGCACTCCTTCCTTTATCCACCAGCTGTTATCCTTTGGTGTACATTGAGGTCTTCTGTCTATTAGTAGTTACTATGTTACTATGACCTCATTCAGAACATGAATGATTAACTTTGAACATAGTCATCTTGTTATTGAGGAACACTTTTTTAGTTTTTTATTGGTTTTTTTTGCAGTTAAAAAGACAAACTATTTACAGTAAATCTAGTAAATTGAAAGGCTGCAGCATAGGTCGACCTAACACGGCATTGGTAAAGATGGCATCTATGCTGTTACTGAAGTCTTGCTGCCTTTTAATCTTTATATAGTTGATTTTCTGAGTTCCTATATTGTTAAAGCAGAACTCCGGGCAAAAAATTTCTTTACATGTCCTTATTGCTGATTTCCTACCTTCACTGAATATGTCATCCATTTTTTGGTTCACATGATAGTTGCTCTGAAATAGTCTATTCATTTCTAAACCAAACCGTTTAATTCTCTTTGGTTTCCTTTTTATAGGACGAGTGGCTGCTATGCCTCCTATTCTCCCAGCCACTGGTCTTGGCACATCCCTTCTGTAGTTCTTTCTCCAGGAAGTAGTGATATAATTCAGACTGGCACTCTGACATGTTCAACATGTACAGGCCTAGTGTCCCCGCCCACATTCACTACAACTCCCACTGTATGATGGGAACTGTAGTTATCTTTTACTGCAGAGAGAGGAGAGGATATGATGTAATCCCTGCTGTTACACCTCCTTGGCAGAGCAGATGCTGTTATCTTTTGAATTACAGAGATGAGGTCATGAAAATTTATTTGGACTCCTAAATGGTAAAGATTTTCAAAATGTTATTAACTGTTTAGTGTTTTGTGTAGAGAGTGTACTAATGGGTGATTTTGTTGTCTATCCCAGAGTTGTTCTTTAAAATGGGCCCGTTAACATTAAAGTGGAACTTTAGTTAGTTACTCTCTATATTTTGACACTTGAAACTGTAGAGGGCGATTTGCTGACAGCCTAAAGGCTACTACAGATCAAGGGCTCTGGGCTTCAGCAAAATGGCAGCTCCAGCAAGAAGAAACAGGAGCAATGTTGGAGGCAATTTACAGCACACACTAATTTTTGTAACTTAATTAATTGGAATGTTCCTTGCTAAATAATAATATTCTTTATCAAGTTCCACTTTAATGGAATTAATATAGGAAACACACAAATATTGTTACTTGCATCATTATTGTTTGTTATTATTATTACAGGTACTTTGTATAGCACTGTCAATTTATGCAGTGCTTTACATACATATATAGTTCATTCACATCAGTCCCTAACCCTCAAGGGGTGTACAATCTAAGGTCCCTAACTCACATACATACACATACTAGGGCCAATTTAGACAGGGTATAGTTAACCTGCCAGCATGTCTTTGGAGTGTGGGAGGAAACCAGAGTACCTGGAGGAAACCCACGCAGGCACAGGAAAAACATGCAAACTCCAGGCAGGTGGTGCCGTAGAAGTGCTAACCATTTAGCCACTGTGCTGCCCATTTTATGTTCCCAAATTCCTTTGCTGTCTGTCTTTTTGGTTCTCTAGGGTGACCCACAAATGGCTTCTATATCATCTTGGCAGATAAAAAATGTATACAATTTCTTGAGATCTCTGAGTAATAGTACATTATTTTTTTTTTCTTATGGGATGCAGGTGAACTATGGGTGTTCACTGGAATACACTAGTGTTGGTAGCCTTTCCAGGAGGCAGCTGGGAGGCACCAGTCCAAAGGAGAGATGGAAGTGAAGATGTAAAAAATACTAACTATGCCAAACGTATGTCATTTTGCAATACACTTGAAATGTGTTTACTGCTAGGCATACACAGCTGCATGCAAATGTGCTTTCAATTTTTTTTTTTTTTTTTTTTAGGAGGTAGAGTCCACCCATGTTTGCTGTTTTTGTTGTAGGTGGAGTCTTGTGGGCTTTGTCAGGAAATGTATATCTTTCCATAGCTCATTGCTGTATGCCTGCACACCGGACTTTCACTAGTTATGCAGAAGGTCAGCATGGCGAGTGCTGAAGTCAGTGTCGTATATGCTTCCTATTGATGAAATGTAGGCCACTGCATGAAGCCCACACTGTCCTTTTGAGTCTTCTCTACAGAACATCTCAGAG